CTTTTAGGGAATATTACAAAAAGGTATTTAAAAACACGATATATGCTGAATTTCGTGAACAATATGAAAGATATATACACTGTCGTAACAATGTATTATCCCTTTATATATAAACAAAATCATGCCCTTATGGAGCTAGGTAGCATGCCTGAAGACCATTTAAATTGGCAAGTCATTATGCTTATAGAACTGTAATTTGGCCATAAATTAACCTTCAAGTAAATGAAATAAGTTATAAGCCTAACTAGATCATTGCAGCAGACGATAAAGAAAGCTTGATTATCGGTCAAAGATCCTTGGAAGCTAAAGACGAAAAACCTTTCCATGTTTCCGGACACCTTCCAAAGAGAACAAATATTAGCTGACCCGCATTAGGGATCCAGTATGCCAAAAGAGTAGATACCATAGCACTAGTAATCCCAAACTTGTACTTGACTGTCAAAACCCATGAGTTCCGGTCACTTCTACAATGCTTTCATCTTGGCCTAAAGCTTTTAAAATGGGACTCGCAAAATAATATATTGGCATAAGTAGAGTTGAGGTTACAAACAAAACAAGTCATGCTCGTTGAAGATATATTGCAAGCATGTGATACTGTTTTGCTCCATAGGCTTGTCCGCAGAGAGTTTCCAATCCACTGGCCATGCCCAACTGCAATATAAGATTACATAATTCATTTTAGTGACAAATGATAGCACTACTTTATGGATATTCATTATTAGTTTCCTAGACTTTACTTGTGTGCTGAAGTTGAAAATTTGATATTTCTAGAAAATCATATATTTACTCAATTCGAGCAACAGAATCTAGTTATTTATTCGAGCAACACAATCATAGTTTGGTGATGTTGGATGTTGTTCTATTAAGAATTACTAATACACGATATCGTTCGGGCATGTCAAGAATCATATGAAGGTTATGAATTATCAATAGAGGATTCGTCACTCTTAGATAGTAAGAGCATGTGATTTACATTTCATTCAATTAAGTTGATAACGAAATCCTTAACCAAGGTGTGTTCATAAGTCGAAAAAAGTTTTCGATTTATATTGACTTACAAGTGGAATGAAAGATATAATCGATAAATGAGATTGACACATATTCATATCTCGTAATTGATTGAATCGTATTGACGAAAGAATTATAGTTTCACAATAAACCAACAAATTTAATTTTGTCATACCACGTGACATTTTTCGTCACTTGTATTAACCTGACACATTGCTAGATTTCAATTTAGGACGACGGGTGTGAATTGGTGATAAATTAAAATGGGTAATTTAATTTATCAATTTTTATTAGATCAAAATAATAATTCATATCGTTAGCATCATAATCGAAAATCTAACGGGTTACACAGAAAAGGAGAACTAGAAAAATGAGATTCACAAATAATTAACTAACAAGCGTTGGACAATTAATTAATTGAGT